AGTTCATCTCAGTACACACATTACCTAATGAAACCTTGTTGTAAAGTGTGACACATTTGGTAAATATGGTATCATTATGTTCTTGCTTTATAATATAATAATGAAATGAACAAATAAACAAACAACAAAGAAAGAAAGAAAGAAAGAAAGAAAGAAAGAAAGAAAGAAAGAAAGTTTAAATAAAAAGAAAAGTCACTAAACTTTAACATCATTGCTGTGATTGTAAGTAGTTGTTAATAATTAAAATAAAGCTGTAAATTAGATTTTTTTTTTTTAATAATCAAAATACACTGTAAAAATATCTGTAAATTAGTAGTTGTCACAGTCAGGCCAGGTTCTCCCCCCCCCCATTCTCAGTCACCACAATCACACCCCGGTCATCTCCGCTTATCACTCCAGCTCCCATAAATACACTCACCATTCTGCACTGTTTCTGGCCTCCCTACAGCAACAAAGGACTGCCCTCTCTGTACTGTCAGTACTCTATTGAAAGTTACTAACCTTTCTCATTTCTTGTGATCTCCAGTATCTGCATCTCTCCTGCATCTGTGTTTCTGTTTCCCAGTATACTTCACTCCGGTCAAGCCATCTCCATCTGGTGATCTTATCTCCATCCTGCAAATCAGTTTCATTATGATTGTAAATCTGCCATCCTTTAAACAAACTGTTCATATACTTACTGTACCACTAAATATACTTTGTTTATTTGGGCTCTTGAATTGCATAATGGGATCTTGATCTGTCCTCCAACAACTTTTGATATTAAAAAGTGAAACAAAAAAGGGAATTTTGTTGACATTTTAATAGGCTAGTTTGAAATAATTCAGTGTGTGTATCGGTGTTGTAAAATATGGTACAAAAACTGGTACCATGCTGTTCTCGCGTAAAAAGGAGGTCGGAGGTCGCTGTCGAACTACTGCCTGTTCGACTGACTGAATGACTAAACGATTGACTGGGCGGCCGGCCAATCGGACAACCCAGCCACCCTCCTCCTCCTCCTCCTTCCCTAAACCCAAGCAACGATATACAAAAGCGATCCAGAAAAAAGAAAAGCCCTCATCTGATTTTGACCACATTTTCGGATTTCACCGCATTCTCGCCCCGTTATGAAATCGTTTGCTTTAACTTTTTGATTCTGTTTTTTGTCCTACCTGATTTCTAGAACTGCTCTTCCCCGCACTCGAACCGGGTCGTCTCCGCGGCCGGCTCCCCTCCAGGCCTCCACTCCGCCGATATAACACAACGAGCTAACTAGACAAACTTGTTGCTGCGGGAAAGCCCTCCACATGGAGGTGAGCCGTCAGCCGGCGAGCGCGAAGAGGAGCAGTGTCACACCGCCCCGCTGCATTCGTTTTAAAAAATGAAATGCTGCCATACATAACTGCAGCCACATAAAACGGGGTCTCCAGAAATGTCCGCGGAGCTAAGTTTTTTGAATGAGCTTGAGTTCCTATAATGCATTTGAGGTCCTATAATGCATTTAATAACAGTGAATAAATGATAAACAACTGTTTATCACAAAATACAGAAACTGATAATTACTGGATATTCAAAAACACAAATAATAATAAGTCAGTGTTAAGTCAACAATGGATTTAGCCAAAGTGGCAACATCTTAATCTGATAAGTTTATTATATTTATGTTTGTTTCATATTTATAGTTGGTAGTACATTAATGAAACTAATAAATCATAATTAAATGCATGATTAAACCCAGAGGAAACCCACACGAACACGGGGAGAACATGCAAACTCCACATAGAAACGCCTTTTGGCCCAGCCGGGACTCAAACCAGCAACTTTCTTGCTGTGAGGCAACCGTGCTGCCCATATAAATGTCATGTATTGTTTTATCATAAAAAGTTGTTTGGTCTTCAATAGATCAGATGATTCAAACTCTCTGAAACTCTGCGAAAGAACACTTTACAGTGATTTAAAAGCAGGTTTTAAACTTACGTATTTTGAAATATGTGTTTCATCAAGCTTTTCATCGAGATCTAACAGGTAAAAAGACATGAAAGACTTGGGCTGCTCCAGATAAAAATATTTGTCTTTTAACATTATTGCATCAACTTGTCTGCTTAATCTTATCCCACATCACTCCAAAAATTCACTTTACTCAGGCTTAAAAAAATAATAAAGATAGTACCATCTGTTTTTGACCGAAAACTGACCTCAGCGCTCACCTGAAACTCCAGAAACACATTGGCAAAATAATTTGTCTTGAGAAACACTGAAAATGCTAATGCTCCACTGGAAATACACATAGTTTCTTTTTCAGAGAGGGAAATAAAGAGCCCTGGAAATGTCTGATAAGGCTCTATAATAACAATGACAACAGTTTTGGGAAGCTCATTAATTGAGAGTCTCCGAGTAATTGCTTTACATCCTGCGGGCTGACGCCATCGTTAATGCGGAGAGCTGTCAAACTGACAAACAGCAAGTTGTGGAATATGGATTTTTTGTGTGTTTTTGTGTTAATAACCATTATCAGAGTGTTGCCGAGGGAGACTGTCAAGATGGCACCCGTGATAAAATGCCGGCACGTGACGCCAGAAACACCTGCCTGATGGAACGCGCGCTTTTTATTGGGAAGAAGAGCGCTGCAACTTTCATGCTGAAGGAGGACAGTGTTGATTGGCAGGAAAATAATAGTCACCTTAATAAAAGTGGTGCTAGAAATAGGTTGAGGTGTTTGATATTTTAGGGGTGGCACGGTGGTGCAGTGGGTAGCACTGTCGCCTCACAGCAAGAAGGTCGCTGGTTGGAGCCTTGGCTGGGTAAGTTGGCATTTCTGTGCAGAGTTTGCAAGTTCTCCACATGACCGTGTATTTATTTGTTTATCTATTTATTTGGATTAATTTTTGTTAATTTACATTTTTATTCTTTTTTGTATTTAAAAATAAAAAGCAAACAAATAAATGATTATAATTCTAACAAAACAATATTGCATCTAGAGCATTTTCTGTTTTGTTTTAGATCTGTAAAACAATAATATCAATAATAATAATAATAATAATAATAATAATAATAATAATAATAATAATAATAATAATAATAATAATTGTTGTTGTTTTTGTTGTTGTTTTTTTCGTTGTCGGTGTTAGCAGTAATAGTATTAAAACAATAAATAAATAAATAAATAAATAAATAAATAGATAGATAAAAAAATAATAATAATAATAGTACTACTACTACTACTACTACTACTACTACTACTAATAATAATAATAATAATGATGATAATTTACAGTCAAAATTATATGAACAATTATTCATGACAGAATATGTTTTTAATTCATTGCAACTTGTTAAACAAAGTTAATCATGTTCTAACCTAATTTTATAAGTTATGCCAGCTGTTTTAAGTAAGTTTAACATAATAAAAGTTCAATAAACTTGAAAGCTTAATTTGGTAAAGCTTAAAAACTTAAGGCAACCAGTTTAACCTTATGATTTTTTACAGTTTACTACTACTACTATTAATAATAATAATAATAATAATAATAATAATAATAATAACAATAATAATAATAATCATGATAATAATAATAGTAATTATTATTATTATTTTTTTTAATAAACTGTCAAAATTATGAACAATTAGTCTTGAAAGCATATGTTTTTAGATCACTGTAACTTATTAAACTAAGTTGTTTCATTGTGTAATCATGTTCTAACTTAATTTCAGAAGTAACGCCAGCTGTTTTAAGTCAGTTTAATGTAATATAAGTTCAATGGACTCGTAAGGTTAATTTGATTAAGCTTAAAAATAAGTCAACCAGGATTTTTTTTCAGTGTTCTACTACTCCTACTACTACTACTACTACTACTACTACTACTACTACTACTACTAATAATAATAATAATAATAATAATATTAATAATAATACAGACAGACAGATATGGATAGATCCTCTGTTAAAACATTTAGGATACATAAATGAGTAAAAAGTTTGGTGTCTATAAGCAGGGCGCGAATTACAGGGGGGTTTGGGGGGAATTGACTCCTGTAAGGGTCTGTATGTGTTCATATATGTTGGATTTATATATTTATTTTATATAATTACAGACTTTACAGTAGGCTATTTTGCGCCGTCATTGATCTGCAGTTATAATCAACTCATGTTTATAGAAAAGTTAGTCATAAACATTTATACAGAATTACTTATGTGTATAAAGCACCTGTTTTCTGAGAAGTGCTTCTCATATGATATGTGAACAAACCGTACAGCTTTACTGTAGACCATTCCTCGAGCAAAAATGACATCGACTGAAACTTTCTGTCATACACCACATCCACAAAAAGGGTACCCTTGGTAGTGGAAAAGCAAAGCCTGATAAAGGTGACCCGATCCGAAGCGCACCGTACTGTACCAGTCAGTGGAAGCGAGCCATAACATTACTGAAAAAGTTGACCCCTCCAATCATCAATGCATAATTCGCTCCCTGTCTATAAGTGTTGCTGAAGTGGAGATTTATGACCAACTACTGAAGTAAACTACGTACAGTAATAAAAATTTACAGACATAAAAACTAACAAAAAGGGCAACAAAAACTGCATTTTGCAAGTTTTCTCGACTTTAGACTGAAAAATAAAACATTATAGAAATGCCAAATGCCCAAAACAAAACAAAATTAAAAAACCCACATGGTTTGTTGTTTGTGCCAGCAGTGCTTCGTCTCAAGGGCGAACAGCAGAACGGTATTGAGCTCTTGGGTTTTCTGGAAATTTTATACACATCCTCTTACCATTTGCCCTTGTCTCGAAGTTCTCAAATTAAAACAAAGCACTCAATCAAAACAAGACGAAAGCGAACAATCCCTCCGTCATAAGAAACGCTTTCCTTCCTTTTCAAACCCCAGACACCAGGTGTTGCGGAGGCAAACCGGAGAATGCAAATAGGCCCGACAAATGCGAGCGTTCACCATTTGTCATGGAATATGTTCATTACCCACTGCTCTGGACCTAAAATTAGTGTCAGAACAAGACATCCTCACTGGGTGATGAATTTATTTGCTGCACGTGTTGCCAAGCTTTCAGACCGAAGGCACAGATTTTACCTCCTTTGCCCCCCTCATTCGCTCCATTCGTTCCTCCTCTCCTCCTTCTGCACGTCCTTCACATCGCTACGCCTCTGCTCTATATTTTTCTATGGAGAAATATTAGTCAACAGCGAAGGACGCCACCCACCAGATGGTGCGCTAATATTGCTCTCCATATCAAGGTGTTTCATCTCATAATCCAAGGAGGAATATCCGGATCTGGTACTGTCCCGTCCTGGCCTGTCCTGTTCGCTAACCTTGTCTGCATGCAAAGATCTGTAATAGACAAAACACAACAGCTCATTGTTAGGTGAGATTACACAATGCGATAGATCTACAGCTTTAATGATGTTTATTGAAAAATTTAAAGAAGAAAAATGGTAAAGTACTTGTCTACTGTAATTGAAGTATTAAAACTGTCATTAGGTACACAGTCTACACTACCTAACAAAAATCTTGTTACCTATCTTGTATATGTTTTAGGAACAACAAATAATCCCTTGACTTCTAGTTGATCTGATTTGGTATCAGAAGTGGCTTATATGAAAAGCAAAGGCCTCTAAATTACATTTATTTCCAAAATAAAATGTGATTTTTAATTATTTCAATAGAACAGTAAGGTGTGACTTTGCTTAGACAAAATTCTTGTCACTTAAAATAAATAATGTATAGTATAGAATATAAAGTCATAGTGGAGTGGAAAAAGAATGAATATTGTGTATGACTCCCATGAGCTTGGAAGACTGCATCCATACATCTCTGCAATGACTCAAATCACTTATTAATAAAGTCATCTGGAACGGCAAAGAAGGCGTTCTTGCAGGACTCATAGAGTTCATCATGATTCTTTAGATTCATCTTCAGTGCCTCCTCCATCTTACCCCAGACATGCTCCATAATGTTCATTCTGGTGACTGGGCTGGCCAATCCTGGAGCACCTTGATCTTCTTTGCTTTCAGGAACTTTGATGCGAAGGCTGAAATGTAAGAAGGAGCGCTATCCTGCTCAAGAATTTGCCCTCTCCTGTGGTTTGTAATGTAATGGGCAGCACAAATATCTTCATACATCAGGTTGCTGATGTTGTCATTCACTTAGTGTAACCCCAAATCATGATTTTTCCTTCACCAAACTTGACTGATCTCTGTGAGAATCTTGGGTCTATGTGGGTTCCAATAGGTGCTGTGCAGTATTTGTAATGATTGGAATGCAGTATTTGTTGCTCTTACAACTGGGATCAACGACAAGACTTTTGTCAGGTAGTGTAATGTAATTTACCAGTATGCATACTGTGAACATATTTTACAGTGTATTAAAGCAATAAAAGAATGCAGTATATTTCTGTATTTTCTTCAGTTTAGGGCAAATCACTGGCAACTAAATGCTCAGATGAAAAATATTACAGATCTCACCTTTGCTTTAAAGAATTCAATTTCAGTCATGCAGTCGGGTTGTTATAATATTTTTAAGGTAATACTGTATTTTCAGTATCACCTTTTTGGTAATTTTGTTTTGTTTTTGTAAATTGTAAGCAACTTTTCGTAACACTAATTGTAATAGATTAAAATGAAAAATTCTAGAGCTTCTTGCTGAGCCCTGAACCCAGATAAGTGGCTAATGATGGATGAAAAATTATCAGTGAATAACTAGTGTAATTATTATTAATATTAGCAGCCTTAGTACTTTTCTGTGTGCCTTTTTAAAAAAGTTTTAAAAAGATGTTTTTATAATTTTAAGCCAAACGATTCTTTATTTTTGAGACATCTATAATATATTTATATTGTGTTTCAATGTGATGTTAATGCATAGTAGTTAGTATTAATAAAATTGATATTATTAATAATACTATTAAGGTTATTATTATTATTATTATTAGTAGTAGTAGTAGTAGTAGTAGTAGTATACTACTACTAATACTACTACTACTACTACTACTACTACTACTACTAATGATAATAATAATAATAATAATAATAATAATAATAATAATAATAATAATACATTTTTTTATTAAATGTTTACATTTGTTTTTATTTTGTTTTAAATGTAGGTTCATTTAATTTTTTAGTTTTAATATTTTTGTGTGCCTTTTGTAATTCGGTTTTAAAATATGTTTTTTTATGTAGATTTAATCCGAAATAGAGAATATTTATTTGAAATATGTAATATGTTTATATTGTGTTTTAGCTTTCATGTTATTGTTTATTTATTTAATACCATGCTTATAAGTACATAGGTTTCATTTTGTATTAAATAAAATAAAATAAAATAAAATAAAATAAAATAAAATAAAATAAAATAAAATAAAATAAAATAAAATAAAAATTCTAAGGATTCAGTCAAAGCAGGATGAATCCGCCTTCAGCTGCTACACTCCCTACTGCTGGAATCAACTTCCAGAAATGATCAGATGTGCTCTAACATTAGGCACATTCAAATGAAGATTTAAAACACATCTGTTTAGCTGTGTCTTTACTGTCAGACAGATTGCACTGTTATATCTTTCTTTTCTTTTTCGTTCTTTTAAAAGCTGTTTAACACACTTTAATCTGTTTTTTAATAATTTTATTAGTTTTTTTAACTATATCTCTTTTATTCCTCTTTATGTAAAGCACTTACCAAATACCATGTATGAAAATTGCTATATAAATAAACATGCCTTGCCTTATCTAAAAAAAAAAAATTAACAATCAAAAGAGTTTTAATTTCATTGAATGCTGCATTTGAAATAATTATTAGTTTGTTTTTAACATATATTCACAATTTTATGTCAAATACATTTTTCCTGACCTTGCAAGGATTGCCAAAAAGAAACTAAGCTTAGGTAAAGTCATGAATGTTTGACTTTGAGGAATGTCCTTCAAAATCCACAGTAATATTGTGTGGAAAGAAATAAGGACAAGGACAAACCTTTGTGATAATATCAGACAAATACAAATACACACTCACAAACACCCACACACATCACACATGCTCATTTGCTTTCCTGTATATCATGTGTGACAAGTATTCATCAAGTATTGTCCCTTAGCAGACGTCTCCAATAAACACAAAGTCAAACCGCCCAGATTGACTGTCTCATGAAGGAGGACGTCCCGCCTCTCCACTTCGGCCTGCTTGCTAATGATATCTACGACCCTTGAGGGCACATTTTAACCTGCTTCCTACTAGATCAACAGACACACTAATCAACATATCCCAGAATCCATCAGTGCCACACCAACATTTATGTCTACATAGATTTACTGACCAAAAATCAAAAACCAAAACAACAACAACAAAAGAAAACATTCTTGAAAAAAAGAAAAGGAATAGTTTTATAAAAAAAATAGAGCCATTTTGGTCAACCTACACCCATTTTGTTTCTGTAATGTGGTGTATTGTCTAATTCATCTAAAAATGTAACACCTTAAATTATTATAAATTTAATAACCTTTTAAATCATTATAAAATTAGATTAAAGAAAAAACTCTGATGTTTAAAAAAAACAATAAACAAATAAATCCATATGAATTAAGTAATGATTCATTCATTTTCCTTCAGCTTAGTCCCTTTATTCATCAGGGGTCATCACAGCAGAATGAACCGCCAACTTATCCAACTTATGTATTAGACAGCGGATGCCCTTCCAGCCACAACCCAGTACCGGGAAACACCAATACACATTCATTCACACTCATACACTACAGCCAATTTGGCTTATTCAATTCACCAATAGCACATGTTTTTGGACTATGGGGGAAACCAGAGCATCTATAGGAAACCCACGCGAAAATGTTTGTTTTCAATGACGTTGAATGTAATCTACTCATACAAATACGTACAGTTGGTTCTAAATTGATTACTACTGCCGCATAAATAGTGTTTAACATTTATTTTTTTATTTTATTTTTATTTTTTTTATTTATGTATGTATGTATGTATGTATGTATGTATGTATGTATGTATGTATGTATGTATGTATGTATGTATGAATTTATTTATTCATTTATTTATTTATTCATTCATTCATTCATTCATTCATTTTTTTAATTAATTTTGATGTAACAGCTGTTTATGAAACTGATGCCAAGGGGTGCAAAAAAACAAACAAAAATAACAAGATGTGAACTGACTCAAATCATGACATTTTGTTTCGTAATGGAAATCAAATAATGAAAAATAACATAATAATTATTTTATAAATCATTAGAAACCTTGAAGTGAGGGTTAATTTCACAAAAAAAAAATGAATAAATAAATAAATACATAAATAAACATCAAGAACATAAAAATGCCATGGACATGAATTGAAAATAATATAATATGTGAGTGTATTTATTTTGGTTATTTTAACTGATATCACGACATAACGATTTTTTTCATTCACATTTTATTATTAATTATGAGATTAAATGACTAGTAGTACACGTAATAATTTTTTTGTTTAATAATTTATTTTTTTGTTATAGAAGAAATGTTCATTAAAAATTATTAGCTTCTGTGAAAATTAATTGCAGTATAAAATGTCAAATCTTTAGTATATTTCAAAAACAAAGATGTTGTGTTTTTGTGAAAATATGTTTGTAAAAACCCAGTGGCCAACACTTGCACGTGTACTTTGCAGCTGCCATGGTGGCAGCACATTTGGTGGCACAAGTGACACCTTGGTTGGTAACCATCTACAGTTGAAGTCAGAATTATTAGCCCCCTGCTTATTTTGTACACAATTTTTGTTTAACTGAGAGATTTTTTTTTTACATTTCTAAGCATAATATTTTTAATAACTCATTTCTAATAACTGATTTATTTAATCTTTGCCATGATGACAGTACATAAGATTTGACAAGATATTTTCCAAGACACTTTTATATAGCTTACAGGGACATTTAAAGTCTTAACTAGGTTAACTAGGCAAGTTAGGGTAATTAGGCAAATAATTGTATAATGATGGTTTGTTCTGTAGACTATCGAAAAAAATATAGCTTAAAGGGGCTAATAATTTTGACCTTAATATAGCTTTTAAGAAATTAAAAAACTGCTTTTATTCTAGCCAAAATAAAACAAATAAGACTTTCTCCAGAAGAAAAAATATTATCAGACATACTGTGAAAATGTCCTTGCTCTGTTAAACATCATTAGGGAAATATTTAAAAAAGAAAAAATTCAAAGCGGGGGTTAATAATTCTGACTTTAACTGTATATATTTACAATCAGAATTAGCTTCTGAGATTCATGCTTGAATCGCAACCACATATTTGAGCTGTGAGCCAGTGAGGCTTGTTCTTGCATCTCAAGCAGGTGTATGGTATGAGCAGGCATAGGTTTTTGTTTATGTTCATTGATCAATGCTAATATGTGAACAGAATTCCAAACCACATACAAAGCAATCACATCTTATCAGACTTGATTAATTTAAATTGATTGATGATCTCTTTATCAACATTTTAAGCATCCCAGTTTTGGTTGAATAGACTCAACGGATGGATAGAAATCTCTCAGATTTCAATCATAATATCTTCATTCATGTTTGGGGAAGAACAAACATCCTATGCTTTAAAAACAACACAAGATAGAGAAAATAATAACAAATTGTTCATTTTGGGGTGAACCAACCCTTTACGAAAGCACTTTCTTTGGAACAACCTGCACCAACGAGACCAGGAAGGCATATTAAGAAAGTAAACAGCATTCGTTTTGATTTCATGTCGACTTCAGAAAATTAAAACACCACAACAAAGGAGTTGTGCCAAGAATGATCTTTGTTCTCTACAGACAAAAAAAGACAACAATGTACTGTGATTTCCAGGGGGAAATCGAAGTTCTCCTTGTAATTGACCATTCTCTAATTCTCCAAGATATAGACTGTGAATATTCGCAAGTTAATGTTAACTGTTACAGCCTAGCTGAAATAATGAGATGTTTAAAACAGTTTATCTGTGTTTTTCCTTGCTTCTTGGCAACAGTTTCCCTCCTCAATGATTGTTTTTGTTCCTTTTACTCTATTCCTGTCCCTTCGTTAATTATTAAAAGCCTATATCCCATGTCAGGGAGCAAATAACCACACAAACTCTGTGTCACTTTCCCGAGCACTTGGGCCAACTATTGTGTGCAAACTTCTTTGTCCGTCTCAGATGTTTTAAGCTCTGAGAATGGACTCGCACAATCAAAAAAAATAAAAGAAAATCATTATCTTTGCAGCTCTGGGGCTTATCGGGAAGAAGTTGCTTGTATGAAGAATCAATAGAAATTTATTGCTGGCCAGGCTTCAGTAATAGTTTTCACCTTGAGTAAGTTCACGAGGACGTGCTTCGTCGTCTACGCGACTGCACAAGTTCTTACATGTGTTCAATCTTTAAGACTTCCCAGAATCCTCTGGGGGAATACCAAATAGGCCTGAGAAAACTGCCTCAATTGTCTCGTAATTAAATCATTTATAATCATCGAGCATGGGTGTATGGTTCAATAAAATGACTATTAATTACTTGAGCTTCTTTCTGACGAAGGTAACAAAGGACCGCCTCAGTAGAGTTGCTTTTATGGTCTGAGGTATTTTTGGACAACCATCAGACCATTTAGTGAGGTTTATCTCAGTTCCTTTTGAACCTAAAAACCCACCGTGTTCTGGCCATCCTGTGAGGATTCTAGGAAGTCATCAGGATTAAACATGTACAAACTTGTTTGATCTTTTTAGATTTCAGGTTTTGCACATGTGTTTAATCTTGAAGACATCAAGAGTCCCATAGGGAGGATGGCAAAACTGGCTGTCTAGCAATTCATTCTTAATCACTATTGTTTTCTTTAGAGTGTTCCTAACAATTAAGTAATTTTATTAAATAATATAACCATGCTTTTATTCAACAAAATGACTTAATTATTAGGGACACTTTCTGAAGAAAACAATAGTCTGCCTGAGTAGGGTTGTCTTTATAGGGTCAAGTGTTTTGGGGCAAAAACAAAAAAAGCCATTGAAACATTCACATGTGAATCAATATTTGGCAAGCTTTGTATTTTCCTGACAATTTTGGGAAGTTCTCAAGATTAAATGTGTACAAATTTGTGTGGTCTTTTTTTTCCCCTTTAATTTGAAATTTGCACGTGTTTAATCTCGAAGAAATCTCAAAATTCTCTGTGGATGATGCCAAAATCAGCACTAGAAAGCTGTCTGAAGGCTTGTAATTAAGTCATTTATAATAATTATTCATGGCTGTATGATTCCACCCTTCAGGTACAGGACGCCAACAACGTTACATTGACGTTGTACCACAACATACCCCTACATCACAGTGACATTGGATTTTGTTTGGAAATGAAAATCAGGTTGACATCAAAATCCTAAGTCAGGCTGACATCAATGTTCAACCTAAAATCAACCTAAAATCAACCAAATATCAACGACTAATCATGTTACACCTAGACGTTTTGTGGATGTTACCACTATGACATCTATCAGACATTGGATTTTGATCACTTTCCAACACAACCTAAAATCAACCAAATATCAACATAATTTGACATCGTTGTCGAACGTCGAAATAACATTGTCCTTAGACGCTGGCTAGACATTGAATTTTGGTTACCTGACATCATGTCCTAAATCTAACCTAATATTAATGTCTTAGGACAGTGGTTCCCAACCTTTTTTTTCTTTTCTTATATATATATACACTGAATGTGTGTGTTTGTGTTATGTATAGAAAATATAAATTAATCAGTTTTAACTTGTTTTGGCCTTCAATAAAACCAAAATTTAGGTAGTCTTTGTCATACTGTCTAATCTTTTTCTTCGCCTCTGAAGAATCACTGCATTTACGTTTCTCTGCCAATTTTGTTTTGAATTTGCCTTTACGACACGTTGACAAGCACATTGCGTGAGTGAGCAAAATTTAAATAATTATTTAAAGTTATTTATTTTTATTATTTTTACTATTATGTTGGAATTTTAAGCATGTGTTTTGATATATATATATATATATATATATATATATATATATATATATATATATATATATATATATATATATTTGGTACTTAAAAATACATATTTAATAGTAGGGCTGCTTGATTTTGGGAAAAATCATAATCATGATTATTTTGGTCATAATTGTAATCACGATAATTCAAAACGATTATCAGTTAAAGTCAATATTATTAGCGCTCCTGAGAGTTTTTTATTTTTTTTATAATTATTTCCCAAATTATGTTTAACAGAACAAGGAATTTTAACAGTATTTCCTTTAATATTTTTTCTTCTAGGCTTGTTTGTTTTATTTTAGCTAGAATAAAAGCACGTTTAAATATTTTGAAACCAATTTAAGGTCAATATTATTAGCCCCCTTAAGCAATAAATATTTTTGATTGTCTGTAGAAGAAACTACTGTTATACAATGACTTGCCTAATTACCCTAATTAAGCCTTTGAATTGCACTTTAATCTGAATGCTTGTATTTTGAAAAATATCTAGTAAAATATTATGTGCTGTCATCAATAAAAGAAATCAGTAATTAGAAATGAGATATTAAAACTATTATGTTCAGAAATAAGTTAAAAAAAAAAACTTCTTTCCATGAAACAGAAATTGGGAGGAAAAGGGTTGCAAATATTCAGGAGGGCTAATAATTCTGACTTCAAGTGTGTGACAAAGGAGTTTGTCACTGGCCTGCGGCAGAGCTGTACACCCACATATTCACGCACACACACATAACTTACCTTCACTCCACCAGCCGATCTACCGGGTGCACACGGGAGATTGCGCTGTAATAAAAACACATACACGCACAAACACATTATATATTCCATTAATCCTTGCATATTCTGACACGCCATAAATCACACCGCATACATTTGTCTTACCTGTGTGTCCGTTTGTGTTTGTGTTTGTTCGTCTCGTTGCGTTTCTGTTGCGTCTCTCTTCCGGGTTGCGCAATCGCGGCTACGGGAGGCAAAAGGGGCCAAAAAGGTCATGCGCAGCATTTTATGCACAGTGATGCGCTGCGCATGCGCTGAGTGGGTGGGCACCCGGGGGAGACTATGTGTTTTATGTGGGGGATGAAAAGAATGGGAAAACAATGAAAAAAGCAGTATTCATGACATGTGAAAATGCTGATTTAATAATTTTGGTTTTAAGTTATATAGTACTACAAATGAAGTGTATGAAAGTGTGAAATGCTTACCTGAAAGATTGTTTATATCCATACTTACCTTATACTTACCTTCAATATAGTTTAATCCAAACTGGGCGGAGTCACTCACTATAAATAGAGTGACTTGGGCTCAGTTCAGTGTGGGAGTCGTTGGAGATAGAAGGTGTGAGTAGTGGCGAATAGTTGGTTTTGATAATTCTGGAGAACAAATATTTTGTATATAATTATTTTGTTACTTTATTGTCTCTATTTGTTTGTTTTGTTGTTTGTTTATTTTTTGTATATATATATCTATTTTTTTTTCTTTTATTTTTGGGATTTTTGGAATGGAAACTTTTGCACTGTAAATAAACGCACCTTGCACCATAGTGCTACGTCGGCTGAGCCATCATTCATTTTTTTTTCTTGTTTCACACACACCCGAAAAACGCCTCTGTGTGACAAGTGGTGTCAGAAGTGGGATGGCCAGTCGTAGAAAAGTGACTTCTGGAAAACAGGCCAGGAAGGGTCTGCGGTCACAAAAACCTGTGCTGGAAGAGGTAGCATGGGACACTATGGACGAAGAGGAGACAGCCAGTGCAGAGGGTGCCGAAGCCATGTCCCCTAGAGTTAAACCTGAATCAAAAGGTATGGAGAGCGATGTAGTGGCATTGATGAGGACATTTCTGACAGCTCAGTCAAAAAGGGAAGAAGGCCTCATCTATGAGCTACGGGGGTTGCGAGAGTCACTGCAACGCTCAGTTATACCAGAAACATCACCAAGCCAAAGCCTACGCCTAGATCTACCCACACCTGCAGCTTCACGAATTCGGGGACCGTCAGTCATGCAGAACCCGACACTGTCGACGCAGAGGGCGGCAGACTCACCACCACCACCACCAATGCGACCAGAGTCACGGATGCCAGCATTTCAAGAGGGAGAGGACGTGGAGAATTACTTGCGTCGTTTTGAGCGTCTGGCAAAGACCTGGGGTTGGCCGGAAGAGGAATGGGCGAATCGACTAGTACCCCTTCTCACCGGAAAAGCGCTGGAGGCATACCTCGCGATGGACGAAGATCGGGCGGAAGTCTATAAGGATCTTCGGGAGGCACTGATGGCGAAATTCAATTTATCAACAGAGACCTACCGACAACGATTTCGGCAGACATCAATTCCTGCTGGAGAAACACCGACGGAGACCTACAATCGCCTCAAGGGGCTCTACAAACGATGGATACGTCCCGAGCAGTGCACAAAGGAGGAGGTAGGAGAGGCTATCATCCTGGAGCAGCTGCTACGAGTACTGCCATTGGAGGTACGGACCTGGGTGAGAGAGCACGAGCCGACCGATGGGCTGAATGCAGCAAAGTTGGCAGTCCAGTACTTGAATGCACACCGAGGAGGTCAGATGTATGCCCGTTCTACACCAACACGAGGGGCCAAGCACACTGATACATCTGGAAAAGGTACTGTCTCTGTTTTTCCTACTAAAAAGCTTATTTGCTATTACTGTCAACAAGAGGGGCACAAGGCGTCGAACTGCCCAGTACGCAAACCCAAACTCACCAGTCTGTGTTATGTTCCAAGAGAGGGGGACGTAAAAGACAAGGTGACGTACACTAATCGACACATAGACGTCACCGTGAATGGACAAAACATAAATGCACTCATTGACACTGGCAGCACATTTACACTGATAAAACAATGCTACATTCCAAGAAACACCATTGACTTTACACACACACAGAACATCCAATGCGTACATGGGGACAAAAAAGACTATCCTACCACTGAAGTGACTCTTGTTATCAATGATCAACCATACTTGATGTCAGTGGGGGTAGTGGATGCTTTACCTGTAGGTATGGTTTTGGGATGGGACCTACCTGTGTTGAACGAACTGTTAAGCAATGCTGTTGAAAGTACCAATGTGTATGATGATATATCATGTCCTGTGCTAACACGCTCACAAACCAGAGCGGGTTTAGAGCCCTTACCTGCTATGGATGACAGTTTGATCCAAGGGGAGGGGGGTAAACCAAAAAAGTCACGGCGACAGCGCCGTCTAGAGAAGCAATTGGGTTCACCTATTGTGGAAGTGTCAACTGAAGGGTTGAAGGTGACTGAATGGGATATCCCTAAAAATATTGCACAGTTACAAGCTGAAGATGTAACATTGAAACCTTTGTTTTCTAAAGTGTGTGAGGGGGAAAAACAAATTGAGACACTAGGGGCAGAGAAATATGTGATAGAAAAGGATGTACTATATGTGTTGTCTGATGGTGTCAAACGTCTTGTTGTGCCTACATGTTGCAGATCACTCATATTACATCTAGCACACACCATTCCTTGGTCTGGACATTTAGCACACCAGAAAACCTACCAACGCATCGGTACACGATTCTATTGGCCTTCCATGTATACTGACGTACACACATATTGCTCCACATGTATTGTTTGCCAGAAAACCAGCTCTGTTCACAGGTCAGCGCGAGTTCCTTTGCATCCATTACCTGTCATCGAAACTCCATTCAAACGGATCGCCATGGACATTGTTGGGCCATTGGAAAGAAGCAGTACAGGCAACCAGTATATATTAGTCATCTGTGATTACGCTACACGATACCCTGAAGCATTCCCTCTACGCAGCATCACAACTGCTAAGGTAATCACTGCATTAACACAACTGTTTTCCAGAGTTGGATTTCCGCAAGAGATCATCACTGATCAGGGCACTAATTTCACATCAAGACTGATGCAGTTACTGCACAAGCAGCTGGGCATCCATTCCATCCGTACAAGTCCCTACCATCCACAAACCGATGGATTAGTAGAGAGATTTAATCAAACCCTCAAAAGGATGTTGAGGAAATTTGTAAGTGACAACGGCAAAGACTGGGACAAGTGGCTTCCGTTCCTGCTATATGCATACCGAGAGGTCCCACAGGCATCCACAGGCTTTTCACCTTTTGAACTCCTGTACGGATGGCAGGTGCAAGGTCCTCTCGATCTGGTGAAGAGGAGTTGGGAAGCATCAAGCACTACAGCCGAAGGAGAAACTAACATTGTAAAGTTTGTATTACAGATGAGAGACAGACTTGAGAAGTACCGAGAGCAAGCTCAGGAGAATCTAGAGGAAGCTCAGAAGAACCAGAAGCTGTGGTACGACAAATGGTCTCGACGGAGAGAATACCAACCAGGACAAAAAGTGCTGTTACTATTACCATCTTCCACAAACAAGCTATTGGCGAAGTGGCAGGGTCCCTATGAGATCACTAAGAAGAAGGGTCCTGTTACCTATGAGGTGTTTCATCCAGATAAGGGGAAGAAAAATCAAACATACCACGTCAATCTTTTGAAGGAATGGCGGGAGCCAGGACCTGAGTTGAAGAAAGGTATGTTGGCCTGTAAGGTGGAGACACCTGAAGCAGAAGATGACGACAAGGTGGACTTTGAAACCCCAGAACACTTGCAGTCAGCGGTAAGCCTGGAACATCTGCAAGAGAGGCAAAGAGTGGAACTGACCGAAGTGTTAAACACCTACCCAGAATTACAGAGAGGAAGACCTGGAAGAACAAACTTGGTGGAGCACAAAATCTGTCTAACGGAAGCAACACCTATTCGTCAAAGGCCATATAGAGTGCCTGAAAGCCTGATTAAACCCTTGAAGGAAGAGCTGAAGATGATGTTGGAAATGGACATCATAGAACCATCGACTAGTGCTTGGAGTAGTCCAATAGTCATTGTACCTAAGAAGGATGGTACTCTGAGAGTATGCCTGGACTTCAGGAAGTTAAATGCAGTGTCCAAGTTTGACGCTTACCCGATGCCACGCATCGATGAACTGGTCGAGAGGATTGGGAGAGCCAAATACATAACTACTTTGGACCTCTGTAAAGGATACTGGCAGGTACCCTTGGAGAAGACGAGCAGGGAGTATACTGCATTTAGGACACCAGTGGGGCTATACCATTTTAAGACCATGCCCTTTGGTCTTCATGGAGCTCCCGCAACGTTCCAAAGACTCATGAATCAGGTATTAAGAAACTGTGAGGAGTACAGTGCCGCATACCTGGATGACGTAGTCATTTATAGTACTACCTGGACCGATCATGTACACCATCTCCACACGATTCTGCAGAAGATACAGAGAGCTGGTTTGACACTGAACGTCGCCAAGTGCGAGTGGGCCAGACAAGAAACGAGGTATCTTGGGTTCCAACTGGGGAATGGAGAGATACGACCACAAGTGGACAAAGTGGAGGCACTCCGCAACTGTCCTAGACCTCGTACCAAGAAGGAGGTACGATCCTTTCTCGGACTGGTGGGATGGTATCGGAGATTCATTCCTCAATTCTCTGAAAAAGCAGCACCCTTGACGAATTTGACGGCTAAAGCCATAAAGAATCCGGTTCCGTGGACCGAAGAATGTGAGAAGGCTTTCATTACCTTGAAAGAAAGAATGTGTACTGTACCTGTTTTACGAAGCCCAGACTTTACAAAGAAGTTCTTGGTACAGGTGGATGCCTCAGCGAGAGGAATTGGAGCAGTGCTTATGCAGGAGGATGAAGGTCAGGAACACCCCATCCTATACCTGAGTAGAAAGCTGTTGCCACGAGAGACCAGGTATGCCACCATTGAAAAAGAAGGATTGGCTATAAAGTGGGCACTGGACAGTTTGAGATACTACCTGATGGGTAGAGAGTTTACCCTCGAAACAGATCATAGAGCCTTAACCTGGATCAATACAATGAAAGATCAGAATGCCAGAGTGACCAGATGGTACCTGTCACTGCAGCCTTTCAAGTTTAATGTAAGATACAAGGCGGGAAAGAGCAATGTCACAGCAGATTACCTGTCACGATTGCCTGACGTCGGCAATCTAGGAGAGGTGGGAGGTAATGTGACAAAGGAGTTTGTCACTGGCCTGCGGCAGAGCTGTACACCCACATATTCACGCACACACACATAACTTACCTTCACTCCACCAGCCGATCTACCGGGTGCA